GAACTCTGGGAGTTGAAGTCCACAAGTTGAAGTTGGAAGCTTTGCTGGCTGGGGAACTCTGGGAGTTGAAGTCCACAAGTTGAAGTTGGAAGCTTTGCTGGCTGGGGAACTCTGGGAGTTGAAGTCCACAAGTCTTAAAAGTTGCCAAGGTTGGAGGCCGCTGTGTTAGAAGACACCAACTCTGGTCCTTCTATCTCCCCAACCTCTCCCAACTTGATGCCTTCCTGGAGAGTTGGATTGTGGGCTTGAAGTTCTGTTTTCCGGTCCAGAGAGGACTCGGCTTTTACTCCTTGGAGACCGAGCTCTGAGCAGAGGGGAGGGTGAGAGTGGGCAGCTTATGAGGGTACAAGAGCAGTTTCTCCTGGAGCTTTTTGGGGGGGAGGGGGTCTGCCTCTCCCTCCACTCTTCTCCCACATGCTGGTTTGTCCACTTGCATCAACAGCCCAAAAGTCTGTCTGGTGGCAAGAGTAGCACAGCACAGCCTTGGGAAGACCACCTTGCCCTTTGAGAACAGGTGCTGCTCGCGCCCCCACAGCCCACCTGCCGTGGTTCCCATGCCTCCAGCTTTGCTGGCTGAGGAACTCTGGGAGTTGAAGTCCACAGGTCTTAAAGTTGCCAAGGTTGGAGACCACTGCACTAAAGGACCCAGCCCTCCCGGTTCCCCTCTGGAGCAGCTTCTCTTCGGACCGAAGCAACGCCTTCCTCCATCCCTCCGACTGCCCAGCTCCCGCCCAGATTCCTTTGCCCTTCTGGAAAGGGATCCTGCAGCCTTGCAAGAGACCTGGGGAAGAGCAGGAGGAAGAATTAGCACCTGGGCCTCATTAGTGGCACAATAATTAGCTCCCTTAAAAGGTGCCAGGAAGAAGCCGCCAAGATCTCCAGAAACCAGAACACAGGGCAGGAACCCAGTGGCACCGTATGTCCAAGGTCTGGGCATTGCTGGCAAAGGCCTTCTAGGGCTGGCCGTAGATCGGGGCTCTGCCTGTGCCCGCTGGAGGGGATGCCAAGACTGGGATGGCCAGCCTTGCCGCCATGCGCTGGAGGACGGTTGGCATCATTCATGCCAGGTGCGCCAAAGCCTCAGGCTTTGGAAGCAGTGCAGGATTCTTCCCCTACTGCTTTTTCGGGCGTGTAAGTTATTTCACAGTGTATTAGTGTGTGCGATGCATCGACTACTCCTGTAATTTGCTGGTTCCAGTTTGCTTATTCCCCTGGTTAAGGTTGTTGCCAAGGTAAAGATTTGGAAGACCCGAATGGGCGAATGAGGGCACTGTAACCCAGGGGGGCACGTAAACACGGAAATGAGGAAAGCTGTGATTGATGGAGACATGTTGAAGAGAGGCACAGAAATGAAAGCTGCATATATACTTCTGTCCAGAAAAACATGAAAAGGTTTAAGACGCAAACAGAGACTCTGGAAAAAGGGCAAGGGTCGGAGTAGGAGATACGACAGCAGGAACGTTAAAAGGAGGGGGGGGGTGTTGTGCCTGTCAGGCAGCCCTGCAATTTATTTGGCTTTGGATGTTGCCCCCGAGGGACAGTTCAGACAGTCCGTCCTTGATCCTGGGGGGTTTTTTGAAAATTTACACCCCTCAGAGAGGGCTCGCAATTTGGGGGTCCTCCTGGATTCGCAGCTGACACTTGAACACCATCTGTCAGCTGTGACCAGGGGGGCCTTTGCCCAGGTTCGTCTGGTACACCAATTGCGGCCCTACTTGGACAGGGGGGCATATCAGACGGTCACTCACACCCTTGTCACCTCAAGGCTCGATTATTGCAATGCGTTCTACATGGGGCTGTCTTTGAAAAGCGT